ATATTCCCAGTTTCCGATTACTGTCCGAGCGGATCAGTTGACATATACGGCGATGGGCGCAGTGGCTAACAGGACTAGCGACCCGTCTGTGTGCGCCACATACTTTACCTGCCCACCACCAAACAGAAATATAAGGATTTTACATAAAAGAGGAATGGGCGTCTCGGAGCTCACCCATGGGGGAGTACCACAGATGTCACGTTAAGAACGAGCAATTGCAGCCAAACTGTCATTTCACTTATTGGACAGTCCAAATAAGCATACTGGGCTGCGTACGAGGTCTGCGTTCCATCGTCAGTCTTCAACCCTCCAAGCTACGGCGTTTAACGCACAGTGGTGGCCTAATACTCGGGCCGCACAGGTAGCAGAGGAGTGACATGGAAAAGGAGCCGAATAACACCCTTTTAATTCACGTGAGAATTGCTGACTGCGTGCTTTTGTTATGTGCTATGAGCACGATCATGTGTGATGTAGGCGATGATGACAAGAAATTCGGTGGTGTGGTATGGCCGGTTTGCAGGTTTACATGCAGGCCCATGCGGTTTGAGACTGTATGTGGGTAACGTGGATCGAATTTCCCGTTAGAGAACATTTAGGTGTTCTTTGCATGTCAAAAGACGACCACGCTTAATGATCATAAGGCTGTCATTCTTAAAATGAACACACACTTGCGATTGGTTGCTTTGGAAGACCACTATACTTCCCCGCTACAGCTAACCGCTAGCTATGTCTTGTTGTCTTGAAAATTAAATATATTTAGAGAAAAAATATTAGGCGTTGAATAGCTTGAATATGTCCAAAACAATTTTATGTTTCGCCCTGTTGTGTTTCCAGTAGTACGCTGACATTCTTAAGTCCAACTTGCTCCATAACATGAACAGGGATGAAATGAAGTCGGCTTATACAACTACAGCGACCAACCCTAAGTAAGGTTCTCTAAACTTTTTTCCCATGAAAATACAACCCCATAAATATGCTACCACGGTGCATTATAGCCGGTTTCCTAGCCCAATATTCGAAAGAATTAATTTCGCTGGGTATCCGTTTTCACGAAGAGTGTTCTGCAGCTATTTGCGTACTCCATCAACCCTTTCAAGAGAACATATACGTGGTGTTATAGCAGCCAGTGCATAGACTAAAGGCCGTTTTATATAAAGGAAACAAAATTTAGCAAATTAATGTATTGTATCGCCAAGGTTTGCTTCCGAAATACACTTAGCTCGAGAGATTCGGTCACTTGCCTGTTTAGTAAGTAAAATATTTTCGGGTTTACAAAGCTCTCTGAGCCTATTGAGATGGGCCCTATGTAAATATTCTTGGTAGGCGTCAATCAGCCTGGAATAAAGATAATTAACTTCTCAAAGCTCGGTTGGTTTTAGATAATCACTCTGACTAGGGAAACTCTCAAGTTTTATTTCGAACACTAAATCCTCCAACATCCGCCTTGCGATGCACAACTCAGGACCTGGAGATATTTCCTTTAAGATGATTTTAGCAAGATGTAATGAAGAATATATATGCAATTATGGGTCCTGACTGTTTGGATAGGCAGTCTGCGTTGAGTACACTGTATACAAGATTTGAATACTTCTCCACACTGCTTTACATAAATTATTTCAGCGCTAAGGAAAGTAAGAAGTATGACTAAATCCCTCAGATTATTGAGAATTCGACAACAGCTGCACCGTTTTCTGAACTTCAGAATGCATACCTAGATATCGCGTACAGTCACCGCTGATGTTGGTAGATAAAATACTGTCTCAAATGTGTTTACAAACGTGCCCGTATAAGATATATTAACTGCTGTTAAACGAAAGTGAGGGCGCAATTAATCTGTCTGCAGTTCACCGGCAGCCAATTAAGAGCGCGAGTGCGTGATTAAAGTGCATTGCGAATGTGTGTGTTAGACGCACTCGAACAGCATGGGGCGAGACCAAGGCACCTCAGGCGTGACGCGGGTTGCGCTCCCATAATAAAAGCCGAACATGGGGGGTGAGGTTGCAAGCGTAAGGTCACGTACACGCCACTACAGCCACCTGAGCGGGTTCCCGCTTCCAGTTTTCTTGACCTTGTCTGGAGCACACAATGGATCTCGTCGGATACGACGGTTGATATGTCGTGAGTGCGTGTGTGCGATGGTGCCTGAAGGTCTACTTAATTGGCTGTAATTTTCTGAGTTAAATAGCACGTGGGTAATTTGCAGTTTCAAACTGCAAAGCTGCAGCAATGCAGAAAAGCGAAAAAACGAAAATTGCACTGGCCATCCCGAGCGTAGGAGTCTGTGTCTGTCTCGCCATCAACGCTATTATTTTCCCTTGGCTCATTTATCACCTCGCCGTTGAAGGTAAACTGCCTATTTTCTAACCATATTTTACCTCGATCTCCAAAATTTGCAGACGTTACAGACTGCAAAAACCTTAGCAGCACAGAAACCTCTGTTCACACCGGTTTCTTTGTAGGGCCTTTGGAAGGCTAAGAGCACGTTTTTTAGGAAACTGCTAGCAGCGACTATGAGGACTTGGAAATATTCTTAGAGACATGGCCATACGCGTGTGTGCTGGTTGCTTTTTGTTTC